TCAAGGGGGCGGGCTTGCGATGATCGCAAGTACGATCTGCCTGTCCTAGATGGGCAGATCGTACGTTTTTTTAAGTACTTTACAACCCTCGCAAGACAAAAGTCTTGCGAGGGTTGTAAAGTGTATGGGCACCTTAAGGAGGCAGGAACTACACTTTAAAAAAATCTGCTGTAAGGGTTTATTGTGACCTCAAGACATGGAACACCTGCTTTTGCTTCTCCCTCAATTGACTTCTAATGAGTTTAATTATAGAATCACTACAATTAAGCTCATTACTAGTGAAACGCTTAAGAGGGAGGTACCTTGTGTCTTGGAGTCACAATAAACTCATACAGTGGATCTAATCTGCAGTTTCACTTGCATATTGCATTGGAGGATGAGGCTGAGCCCTAAGGGAACCTAAACCTGACGTGTGCAGTGGATATTAACGTTTTAGGTGAGCTATGGGGATTTTTTTTTGCATTAGTACTGATGACTAGTCCATTGACCTCTCTGCCTGCCCTTTTTGGGGCACAGCTTCCAAAATGCAGGTTCTCTTTAACGAAAACCATGAGAAAAATAAAAGTTTGTGGACACCTGAACAAAAACTTGCAGATGCCTGACATCTATCACACCTATGCTGTATGTCCAAAATTATTTGTATGCCCCATCAAAATTAATTTCACGTGCTTTCAGTGAAGATTAAGGACATTTTAGTTGTTTCCAACCTTGTGTCAACAGTTTGGTGGAAGGTTCTTTTCTGTTCCAGCATGACTGTGCCCCTCTGCACAAAGCGGCTCCATAAAGACATAGTTTGATGGGTTTGGTGTGGAGGTAGTCCAGTGGCCTGTACAGAGCCCTGACCTCAACCCTACTGAACAGTTTTGGGAAGAAATGGAACACCGATTGCAAGCCCTTTCCTCTTGTCCAACATCAGTACCTGACATTTCAAAGGCTCCTTTAGGCAAAATGGGCACATAATCCCACAGACACACTCCAAAATATTGTGGTAAGCCTTCCCAGAAGAGTGTAGGCTGTTATAACCCCAAAGGAGTAGGGGACTAGGAATAGGGTATTAAAACCCATAGGTTTTGGAATGGGCAGTCCAACAAACTCATAGGTGTGATGGCCATGTTTCCAAAAATGTTTGGCCATACAGTGTATAAAACACTTTGATATTTTCTCTCCATTATTTACAAACACTGAAATGCTGTATAAGATTTATGTGGACCCGTCATTGAAATGGATTGTACATCATCATAAAAGATTCCAAATTATTTTGGGTTTAAATATATTTGTTGGAGAGATTGAAACGCCTCCCAGACATCATATACTGACCTAGCGTACCATTCTATGTTATGAATTCAGATAAAGCGGATCTGTTTTGGCTAGAACGATATTCTTAAGTATAATAGTATGTAACTCCACACATGGTGAATGGCTATTACTTTTCAGTTGTAGAATAAAGAGGCCCCTCTGCTAAAGAGCAGCCTAATATCGATCCCTTTCTGTGACAGTTCTGCAGATCTGTAAATTGAAAGTCTTCCAGCGTGAACAATAAATAATCATCCTCTGATTATCTGCTGTGCTTGGCCCGTGGCTGAAATATTATGGAGGCCAGTAGATGGTTTTCACCTCGACACTGCTCTCGCTTTTGTGCTCCCTACAAGAGTGATCGGCTCCAATAGGCATGTTTAGGCCGAGAAACTGTTCTAAAAGGGTCTGAATGTAGATTGTGACAGCTTTGTAAATGCTGACTTTATCCATAGCAGCCTGTCTGAATCTGTCTTAGTATTTATAAGAATTTTAAATGTAACAGGGTAAGGTAATAGAATAAAGTAGACATCTGCAATCAACATACAGCAGAACACTTTTTGGGTCCATTCATAAACCAGTGGTATGGTCTTACCACATCCATATTGCTGCTTTATACGCTACTGCTATGTACTTTACAAATGTGCATTGCACTCCATGTGCAAAGAGAGCAGAGTGCAATTGACATAAATAAAGGAAAGATGAAAAAGCTGAGAGGAGAGCTTGGGCATGTGTGTCACCTGACCAGCCTCTCCTCAAATCATAGAGTTCTCTCTCCTGCATTATATACTTCATGATATGGCCCAGGCTTTACACCATGGCTTGCATTGTATGAATGGGCCATAAAATGCAATCTGTAGTTTGGGTAAAGCAGCAGAGTCTAGCAAGGAGCAGATAGCAGTGTCCACTCTCCGTTAAAAATAGGCCCTTTTATGGCTTTAATCATAAGGTTCATAAGGGCAAAATTTTCTTTTTTTAAGACTATAGAATCGTATAACAAACAAGTAGAAAATAAAAAGGAAAATTACGGAAATTTCAATATACACTAAGTGCAAGAACACGGGGAGATGAAATCAAACAAGTAGAAGAGAGTTCAAAACTAACCTTAGAAAGTATTATTTAGATGCTTGGAACATATGTTCAGCAGAGGTAGTGAGGGAGTCAACCATGCTTGGGATAAAAATAGATCTATACGCAACAAAAAGCTTAAAAAAACTAAACAAAAACAAAGCAGAAAGGGTAAGACTCAATGGACCACTTGGTCTTATTCTTCCGTCAGTCTTCTATGTTTCTAACGCTTTAAGATTGTACATTCGGCTGCTTTCTCCAGCCCGGTTCTCTTTTCAGGCTGTGCTATTTTTCAAACCCACTTGTTTCATCCGGCAGAGCATTGGTGGAAGCCGAGGAATCCCAGCGCTGCTTTGGAAATGGCGTGCATGCTTAACGCCTCCATAGGACATGTCACTGTGATCTATGACGGGCTTAAGATGCCTTGTAGAGAGCTAAGATCAGCCTGAGGGGAGTCTTAGGTTTCATGGCTGATTGTTTGGGAAGACTAGAGTTACTCTGAATGTCTGTCACATTCGCACCGTTCGTACAAAAGCTCTGTAAAACCCCCCTGACCATATCTTTCGCATTTACATGACCGTGTCCCTAATCCATTTTTATTGGCGCTGTAAATCCCCTAAGTGAGGCACTACACAGCTTAACAGGTGGATTCTGCGCCGTCTGCATCCCGCGGTACTGTATATACCCTTTAAGTATGAGATGTTTCATTGTCCGTGTGCGGCGGTGCTCTGCCTGGCGGCTCAGGTAACGTTCTTTTCACGGAGGCAGAAGTTATTTATCGTGAGACAACTGCGACCAATGAAAAACAATATGGTGTGAGGGCTTTTGTGTCGAGTGATCGCTCACATGCTTGTTGGGCTTTTTATGGGAGTTATTCCCAGGGTTGCTTTAAATGGTAACTCTATCGTATTTATAGATCGCCATTGGTTTTCTGTTTGGTCACCCCTGGTGCTTAGAGTCGGAGACCGTGCACTTATTGGACTGCTTGTGACTCGACAGGCCTCGGTGTATGACTGGGCTTTATTTATTGAAGTGTCTGAAGAAAGGTTCTTCTTTTGTTGAAGACCATCTTGTAGCAAGCAATCAAAATCCCATTAATTCAGGCTTGAAGACTCCTTTGGGTGAGCACGTGAATGGGTGACAAGCAGAAGAGCAATTTTGAAACTGGGACAGAGTGTTGTCATGCTATAACAATATGGGCCTGAAGAAGGACCTTCATGGAAGGTCACCAGGTATTATTTTAGGCAGGGATCAAGAATCGGATCCTCTGATGCCCTTGATCTAAAGCTCAACTCAAGTTTTGGACAGAGTACGGAAGGCCTAAAATGTCTGTCAAGTTTGCTGATATGTCTTTGACTCCATTGGGAAGATATTTTTCTCACTTCCTGTCCCTGTGACACCCAGGGATGTAGACTAGAGAAACAGGTTGTTTAAAGCAGTGGTTCTCAACCTGTGTAACCTCAAGACCCACATTTGTTCTTGGTCATTAAGTCGTGACCCATGTTGCACTGCAATGGAACACAGTGTGGGTTGCTGTACTGGTATGAAGCTCCCTCATTATGAGCATCCACATGTACAGCTTCCTTGCACACCATGTAGAGGTGCTGGGAGCCAGGTTGTGATGTCACTCCAGTCCAGGCACCTCTGCAGGGTCTGCGAGTGAGCTGTAAGCAATGCAAGTATGGATGTAATGCCCTTGCGGCCATACCCCCAGCCCACCCCATCCCACCTCAAGCTGACACTCGGCACCAAGGAGCATATTTTGAATGGCTGCTCGGTGTGAGAACAGACCGTACTGAGCTAGGGGGAGGCTGAGGAGCCTCTCGCCTAGAAAAGTGGAAGGCACGCGGGGACCCACTGAACATGTGGTCGTGAAGCCCACTTTTGGGTCACGACCCACCAGTTGAGAACCAAGGGTTTAAAGTGTATCTGAACTCAACCAATTAACTTCTCTTATTGGTCCCTTTTGATCTGTTAAAGATACCATTGAAAGTGTTTTGTTTCATTGGTTTACTGAGTGGAAAAGAATACCTGTTGATCCTGCCAGAAATGTTGTCAGTTGATAACATCCTGTGCTCTTTGCCTGTTGAAAGTCATTTTACAATTTCAGCTGTTTCTGAGGACTACAGAGCAATGTTCCTCTGTTATGAATGGAGTTTCGTATTGCTATCTTATTTTTGTTGTCCTGATACAGAAGGATGGGCGAGCGTTGTTACCCTAGGACGGGAAGTGTGTTACTGGTGTAAACACCAGGTGCATATAAAGAAGAAAACAAGCCTGATAAAAAAGAAAACAAATGCAGCCACCGCATCTAATAAATGGCGAGCTGCAATATATTACATTTTGTTTAGTTTGAATTTTAAAAAGCCTTTAGGCCCCATTTACAACCGATTTTTCAACAGATGTCAACGCCTGCCAAGGGAAGGTAACCAAAAAAATGTATAGGTGTGAATGAGACCATTTCACGTTGCTCTGTTGCAGTATGCTGAAGAACAAGTAGAGCATGCTCTACTAAATTTGTCAGTTCAACGTAATGCAACGCGTCAAAAACGGACGTCAATGCAACACAATGCAACGGAACGCAACTAAAAATAAAATAATGTAAAAAATGTAATGGAACACAATGGAAGTCAATTGAGTTTGAAATTGAAAGTCAACGGACCTCCATTGACTTGCGTTTTCGGTCTGATTTTAGTTTGAACTGGTCTTTAAAGTCCCTTTGCTCAGCTGCACATATTCCCTTTGCTCCTGTGCTGCTTTTTTCTTCCACTTGGAGTGGTGGAAATACCCGTTACCTCGAGGTATGGAGGGCTCACTCCATGTGCCAGCGCTAATTTCTATTAGCCCAGCGCCATCACATGGGGTTGGGATGACAGGCGGCTCTGTGTTAGCTCTGGCCGAACAATCCAAGCTCAACTTGCCTCTGTTTAGGCCCCTTTCGCATGGTCCAAGCAGGAGGTTCCCTGCTGATCGGAATGGATCTCACCGTTGTGACATCCATGTCCAACCAGGTTTTTCCTCCATCTTGCATCAGATTACCTCTGGTGCGGTACAATCGGGTCCATCACAATGGAACCCTGGTCCAGGAGGGGGGGGGGGTTTAACTGGATGTAAATGGACACCCTTCTGTATAGATCCAGCTACCCCTAGACTAACATCTCACTTCTGATCAGATCCGCCTAAAAAAACTGCCAGGTGGACCTGATTGGAAAGCCTGTCTGAAAGGGGCCTTACTGTTTAGAAGGTATAGTCACCCCTGTTATATAAATACACTTTCATGACAGTGTCTGATTTAAATAAGGAGTCAAAGGTATCACCAAAGACATATCCTCAGTCCCCATCGGTAGGCAAGCCGTTTTGCCTGGTTAGCTCTATTGCAGAGGCACCAGGTAAAATGTAGAGTGCTCAGCGGCATGAAGTAGCTGTGCCCGGCCATCTGATTACCAGTCAATTGTAGAACTTGCACGCGAGCTTCATCTGAGAGCACAAATCATCATCAATAGGCCAAGGTGCCGCAATCTCGCCTCATCAGACACCGTCGCCGTTTATGGAATGCTGAGCCAACCGCTTATCCGGGCGGGAGGCCTCTCGCCAGAGCTGTCTGCCCTTCTATTGCTAATTAAGCTGAATAACCAATTGTAAGTAACCCCTTGCTAATAATACATATGCACACAAATTAAATCTTCATTACCAGATCTGTGGGGCTATACAATAATTGACTCCGCTAAATGAAACCATTGTGACTGATAATGGGACAGGTTTTCCTCGGGAATAACCTGCCGAAAATACTGCGCAATAATGAATTTGAAAAAAAACCACTACAGTAAGGCAATGTGAAGGACAATGTAAACAATGACTGATGGATCATTAGTCACTAAAGCACAATATATCATAAAAATGGCATTGTGTAAAAAATAAAATACTTTGTTTTCACCATTTTTGTTCATTTTTTGATCCATATGAGCAGCGATGGATGCATGACATTACCCAGGGTGGGTTTCCTGATGGTGACAACAGCAAAACATTCTTGCGCAATGTGTGTTGACGTGGCTGCTTGGATGAACACATGCCTGGGTGACAGCACAGAACGACAAATCTGAGACAGGGACCAAGTGTTATCATCCATTAACAGGAATTGCCTGAACAAGGACTTTCATGGCAGGATCACCGAGCAGGTCCCACCCACTACAGGCTGCCTGCAGAAAAGTATGGGAGGGGCGGAGACAAGACCAGTCACCCTGCACAAGGAGAGAGAGCAGCAGTGAGCAGTCTTTATTACAAGAGTGGGTGGAGACGAGACCAGTCACCCTGCACAAGGAGAGAGAGATCAGCAGTGACCCGTCTTTATTACAGGAGAGGGCAGAGAGAGAGAGCAGCAGTGAGCGACCTTTATTACAGGAGGGGGCGGAGACGAGACCAGTCACCCTGTGAAGAAAACACGTGGCTCTTGCATGAGGACAATATTTGAGAACGCTCTCCAGTTCTTACAGCGACCAGCAAGGGAGCAATGCCATAGGAGGAGGCCAGTGCTCCCTTTTAGTGACCCAGTTGCTGGCAGCGTCGGGATCACTAGTGTCACATGACCCCCAATCCATCCGAAAAACCAAATCCGAGTTCTGCTAAGTTTACAGTTGAGTTCTCCAGAGAAGGCATAAAAAATTAAAAACGTGACAGGTTCTCTTTTCCTGGTCCTGCGGTTGAATAACAGGGCAGAAATATCTTCTCGGGTTCTCTGCAGCTCCAGGAAGTTCCTGTCCGTGTCTCTGATTGTTACTTGTATCTGTTTAACATTAAATATTTTGTTTTGATTTTACTGCCCCTCCAAAGTTGATTTGTTGCTAGGAGTAACGGCACCCGCCCCCCATCTCGCGTTCCTGGGAATTATCTCACCGTCTGCAAATCCTGTGTTGATTCACCGGGTCAGGTTATCAGCGCTGTCTGTCTTCTTTTTGGCAGAGTGTAATACAAGTTCGGCACGAACACACAAAAAGAGAAAAAAAAAAAACACCAAAAAAAAGAAATAAATTGCACTGAAACCACAAAGTAAATTGAAGGTAAAAGATGAGACGAGCAATAGATCATCGCTGGACTTGTGATGAGAATGAGACACCAGCGCAGATGATGAAATCCACCCTCTGAACTGTGGGAGGTTTATCGAGTGCCGCTCGGAGCTGTCATCCGAAAAAAAACAAAAAGACGACTGAAATCATAAAAAGGAAAAAGCAACGAGGAAAAAAAGAAGAACCCTCGTGTGTGGAAGCGCTGGGTCTATTGAACTGGGAATGTAGTATACTGGGATGTCGGGGGCAGCCACCATCGTGTGACACTATATACAGTGTAATGGCAGTGAGCTCTAGCTGTCTTTTGTAGTATGCTTGCAGTCTCTGACCATCTCCTGTACTATGTCTGCAGTCTCCGACCATCTCCTGTAGTATGTCTGCAGTCTCCGACCATCTCCTGTACCATGTCTGCAGTCTCTAACCAGCTCCTGTAGTATGTCTGCAGTCTCTGACCAGCTCCTGTACTATGTCTGCAGTCTCTGACCAGCTCCTGTACTATGTCTGCAGTCTCTGACCATCTCCTGTACTATGTCTGCAGTCTCCGACCATCTCCTGTACTATGTCTGCAGTCTCTGACCATCTCCTGTACTATGTCTGCAGTCTATGACCATCTCCTATACCATGTCTGCAGTCTCTGACCAGCTCCTGTAGTATGTCTGCAGTCTATGACCATCTCCTGTAGTATGTCTGCAGTCTATGACCATCTCCTGGGGGTTTTCAGCAGTCACTGGCAGTCTTCTGTAGCATTACATATTCTGAATATTATGAATACCCCTGGGTAATGTCTGGGGCCAAATTGAGGCTCCCTATACCTCATAAGTTGACCACTGCTGCTGTATGACATCTCCCTGTTCAACCTCTGTGCGAGGACGCATGCAGCACTGATAGTGACCACAAGTACGAGGACGCATGCAGCAATGATAGTGACCACAAGTACCAGGACACACATGTAGCAGTCAACAATTGGGATGCTACACAATTCTGGTCTGGACGTTTTTCCATTTTCAAGTCTGTAAAATGCGGTATGGTTGGTGCCACGTAGGTCACCTTCAGGCTTGATTTCTATAGGCGTGTATCCCTCCATAAGGGAACAGTCTGTTTTTCTTGGGGTTCTTCATACCGGTGCCATCTGCAGCCACTTCAGCACCCTTCTACAAGAGGTACACCAGTAAGGAGTGCGGTGGGGCATCTTTTGGACTTGTCCCTTGGGGAATGGACACAGGGAAAGTTGCAATGATAGTGACCACAAGTACGAGGACACTCGCAGCAGTCACCATTTGGGAGGCTACAAAATTCTGGTCTGGACATTCTTCCATTTTCAAGTCTGTAAAATGCGGTATGGTTGGTGCCACGTAGGTCACCTTCAGGCTTGATTTCTATAGGCGTGTATCCCTCCATAAGGGAACGTTCTGTTTTTTTTCTTGGGGTTCTTCATACCGGCGCCCTCACTCGTTAAGCCGTCAGCACATAATGCACAGCAGATGTTGCCCCTATCTGCGCCTCTTTCAAAAGCCTTTAATTTCACACTCTGTAATTAATTAGTTTGGCTGTTTATTAACCTCACTCGAGGCCTGGGAAAGGCGAGACAATGCCAGAACAGCAGTGTGTGTGTGTTTTTTTTTTCTTTTTTTCTCAAGTTTTGCTGACTGGTCAGAAATCTCGTCAGGGGGTCTCTTGTCCTCCTCCGAGCAGGTCCTTGTCTGCTTCTATCTGAAGCCAATCTATCACGATCATCTCTCTATTGGCTAAACTCTCCTTTTATTTTATCATCGTGTCCCGAGAGGCAGCCATTACCTCAACCTTGTGAATTACTGTCTCTGCACATCTTTTGTCATCTTTAGCGCCCTTAAGCTTTTGATTTTGATTCTTCGGCCCGTAGGTTGTTTGTAATTGGTGACAAATCTTTTTCCTTAAAAGGAACTGCCTCGTATAGACTCACCGGCCACTTTATTACGTACACCTGATCAATCGCTTGGTAAAACAAATTGCTAATCGGCCAATCACATGGCGGCAACTCAATGCATTTAGGCATCTAGACGTGGCAAAGAGGACTTGCTGAAGTTCAAACCGAGCATCAGAATGGGGAAGAAAGGGGATTTAAGTGACTTTGAACGTGGCATGGTTGTTGGTGCCAGATGGTCTGGTCTGAGTATTTCAGCAAGTGCTGATCTACTAGGATTTTCATGTTTCCTGGTCTGATTTTGTCTCGATTTCCAGCTGCAACATTCAGATGGTCGGGTCAGAATTTGGCGTAAACAACATGAAAGCATGGATCCATCCTGCCTTGTATCAACGGTTCAGGCTGGTGGTGTAATTGTGTGGGGGATATTTTCTTGGCACACTTTGGGCCCTTGATGCTATCGCGTCAATATGGACTAAAATCTCTGAGGAATGTTTCAAAAACCCCTTGTTGAATCTATACCAGGAAGAATGAAGGCAGTTGTGAAGGCAAAAGGGGGTCCAACCCGGTACTAGCAAGGTGTACCTAATAAAGTGGCCGGTGAGTGTAGATCTAAGGGTGTCTACCACAATCCGCCGTGGGTTTTTTTTGGAGATCTAGATAAAACGGCCATGATTTTGGGGGCATCAAGATTTTTTTTTAATTATTGTAGAAAAACAAAGTTCCTCCAGTTTTCAGAGCTTCAAACAGAAAAAGGTAACAATAGCAAAAGTAGGGCAAGACCGTGTGACTTATAGTACAAAAAATAGAACAATTGGCCTACAATCCAGTTATAACTATAGCAACAAGTTATTTTATGCTCATGTACTTATATCTCATGTACGGCTATCAGAATGCAATATTATTCCAAATTTTAAAACAAAAGAAAGTTTCCTATTTGAAAATTGTGCATTGAGATGTAGGGACGAAGAATAAGTCATCATTGAACTAAGTGATCTCGGGAACCCCACACACTGTGGACTAGTGATCCAAGACTTCCTCCATCTGTCTCTGTCACTTGTGTTACCTCCCAGCATGACCTTTCTCTGCCAGTATCATCACCCTCTCAGTAATCGGAGACTGTATCCGCAGATTCATCTTCCTTCCCAGGGACTCCTGCCAGCTCACTCAACGCTACTTCAGACTGTATTATGAATAAACAGCATCAGCTGCATTATAGAGGAGGGTGGAGGGAGATGTAGCCAGTGAACAGAGGTCATCCATTTCAACTTCCAAGGCATAGAACAAGGCTGCCATGTTGGATTTGAGAGAACATTTTTTACAGTGGCTTAGTGGTTGGCACTTCTGCCTGGCAGCATTGGGCTCATCTGTTCAAATTGTGGTCCCGGAAACATTGCTTGTTCTTCCAGTTCTTGTGTGGGTTTCTTCCAGGTCAAGGGTGGGCAACTCCACGCCTCCAGCTGTGGTGGAACTACAAGTCCCACGAGTCATTGCAAGACTCTGACAGCCACAAGCATGACTCCCAAAGGGCATCTGCATGATGAGATTTGCCGTTTGAACACAGCTGGAGAGCCGAAGTTGCCCACTCCTGTTCCAGGTATTCTGGTTTTCTTCCACTCTCCAAAGACATGCTGGTAGATTAATTGGCCTCTGTCTAAAACTGGCCCTAGTATGATATTCTACTGAGCACATCTAAGATGACTGCCTCATGCCAGCCCCAAGCTGCTGCTGCTGCCGCCTTAATCCAGTGCATATACATTTGTTCCTATCCTCAAAGTGGCACTAAGGTTAGGAGGTAAATCTTAAAAATACATTCAAGTACCTGAACTATGAATAGAAATGTATCATATTTGTCTATCACTCAGCTGTAGATCCTCAAATCATCTCTGAATGGGTGCTGACACTGTCCTTCCTTCTGGAGGGGGGCTACTTTTCTTCCCCATGGTCCCTGTGTGTGTTGTAAAGTAGCTGATCCAAGCTCACTCCCGGGATGGACTACAATCTCACATCTAGTTCACTAATTTGTATTAAGATTGTAGTCCATCCCGGGAGTGAGCTTGGATCAGCTACTTTACAACACACACAGGGACCATGGGGAAGAAAAGTAGCCCCCCTCCAGAAGGAAGGACAGTGTCAGCACCCATTCAGAGATGATTGGAGGATCTACAGCCGAGTGATACACAAAAAAGATACATTTTTGTTAGTAGTTAAGGTACCTGAATGTATTTTTAAGGTGTAACTCCAGAGTTTAGTCACTTTAAGGGTGTACAGTCTCCTAACCTTTGAATAAATATATACTGGCTTGGTGCCAGTATGTGACAGTAGTCATTTTAAAACCCCACTACCCTGTCCCACTCTCACTTGCGCTCTTCCGCTGCTCCATTGGAGCCCTTGTGAAATAGCTATGCTTCCAGGTATGGGGAGCCATGAGACGACCTCCCATTGTGCAGTGCTGGGGCCTAAGTAGCCAAGTACAAAGCTTTTAGTGTCACTTTTACCTATCTGTAGGAAGAAAAAACTCCCCTTGTAGTGGGGCAAACACTGATGAAGGGGCAGAGTTTTGGTCCTTGAAATGCATTGAATTTATTGAATAGTCTTCCACCTGATTTTACATTGGAATGGACCTTCAACTATTGGGGTGAAGCTTTAATCTCTGATCCATTTATTTGCAATTCTGACCACGAAAGAGTCAGGGAAGTCAATGAATGCAGAAATGATGGATTTCCTTATGCCCTAAACAATTCAAGATGGCGGCTTCCATTATTAGAAGAATATGTAGACTTAGACCGGGGCTAAATTGCCCAGCTAAACCTATTCTGTGATATGTTTTTGTAGCAATGCTTTCAGCTTTTTACTTCTCTCTGCTACAAGCTCGGCTTTCATTTTGTCTATTTTTTTCTCAAATGATAAACTGGAACGAGATGTTCTCCAGGAGCCGCTTGGTCTGAGCCCGCAACTTACAGCTCCGTCTTGCACCGGCATCATTTTTGCGATTGCCCGTGCCAGCGAATCGTTCAATAAGCACCATTTCTCATTCTTGGAAGAAAAGCCGTCCACTGATATCCATATTGTAATTATCTGCCCGCACTGCGCGGCGTTCACGCCACCTGTCTCTCCGCCGTTACTTGATCTTTGCCGTTCAATTACGCTTAAGGCCGGTGTTTGTTCTTGGGAGCGCTTTGTTCATTTGCGAGACTGATGGTTAGTCAGAGAGCATATTATTCACACTGATGTATTTATCTATTTAACACAAAGCAGTTACCTCTCAGTGCTCCGACCGCAAACGAGATTGCATTACAAATTACTTTCTGTACGCGAGCTAAAGGTATTTGCGAGCCTTGCCTGGTCTAGCCATCGTTTCTGATTTTCGTTTTTTTTTTTACACTTCGCAGGTCAGCTCATTAACCGCTTCATCATCACCTGCAATGTTTGCTCAGTGCAGGTCCAATTTGTTCGAGATCACACATTACTACAGGATGTAGAAGCAAAGGCCCCGTGTGAGCAACGCCCCTTCGCAGCAATTTTTTTTGTACTGTATGGTTTTAATGCTGCATAGTATCAATATATGGGATCCGTTTTATAATCTCTCATACCTTTATTTATATTTTCTTCAGATTTAAATGCAGACCAAGCTGTCCAGCAAAAGCAACAGGTGTTGAGACAAGCAATATAACACTGCCAGGGGTGGTTACAATGGTCAGCTTTTATTCATAATGCTGTAACTGCTTAAAAAGTGTTGGAGTTGGACTTTAATTTATTTTTCCCTTACTTTATAGTGGACCTTGTAGTGTATTGAAAGGTCCACATCTACATATGTCAAATCCCCTTACCACTTTAAAGATGGTCTACTGATAGTAGATCCCAAAGGTACTGATAAAGCCCCATCTTCTGACTGTAGCACCAAGGCAAGGGTGAGGTCATGCACCTTCCAGTAAGATCCAGGGGAATACAGAGCAGCCCAAATCTCTCTTTTGCAATGGACCAGAGTGTCTTCTCATGAGATTTGGGCTTCTCTGCATTCCCCAGGGATCTTCGCAATGGGTGACCTTACAGAGGAAAAATGTATCTTCAGAAGCACAGGCAGCTGGAGTGATACACACTATTCCCTTCTTTTCCAGGGACAGCTTGGTGGCCATCAAAATAAACCTATAGCTCTGCCCTACAAATGCAGAGCACAGGTTCACCTAAATGTGGAAATGTTTTAAGGAAGCTATGGTGGCTGCTGGGTCCACCAGACATAAAAAGATTAGCTCTACCTCCATACTCCCTACAGCTCAAAAGCAAGGCTCCTATTCACCTTTCATGTGAAGGACCGCCTACGATCCTTGATTACATTTTGTTGATTAAAAGGCAAGAGATCCAGAGTATCCTCAAGCCCTACAAATGCAGAGCACAGGTTCACTTAATTGCGGACGTGTTTTGAAGGAAGCCATGGTGGCCGTTGGGTCCACCAAACATACAAAATTTAGCTCTACCTCCAAAATACTACAGCTCAACAGCAAGGCTCCTATACACCTTCCATGTGAAGGTCCGCCTATGATCCTTGATTACATTTTGTTGATTAAAAGGCAAGAGATCCAGAGTATCCTCGAGCCCTACAAATGCATGGATCTTTTGCCTCTTAATGAAATGTAATCAATGATCGTAGTCGGACTCCAGCATTGGTATCTCCTTTCGGTTTTGGTCCACTTTAAATGCTATAAAGACAAATCTTTTTTTTAGCCTGGATCACTGCAGTTGCTCTATTGGAACGCCATGCATGTCAATCTGATGCCATTATGTACGCCTTTTCCTCATCTATTTCGTCTGCTGTCAAACATAATTGCATTCTTTCCACCGGATTCACAAAGGTCAGCGACTTGAATGTTGTCCACGTAATCAATACAAATCCATAGTAAAATATTAATAGAGATCACAGTTTGGTTTAATGGATTCCAGCACCTGCATACTTCATAGCAGCTGTCCGATAAATCATGTGTGGCCTGGCAGCTTGTAACCCCGGCATTGCACAGGTGGAGCAACATGAGTTAACCGCTGGCGTCCTCTGGGGATGGTGGAACGCTGGGTGTGTGGGACACTCTGCTGTGTGACCTGGATGGATGTAACAAGCACAGGCACCCTGTCTGCTCTGGACGTAACAGACCACAGTAGAGTTCTGTGTTAGAATAACAGTGCTCGGTCCACCAAGCAGCAGGACAATGCTTGTGTTGTAAGATGACACTGGTGTGAACACAGTGTGACCCTGGATGAACTACAGATAAAAAAAAAAATAATGAACGTCCAAAGATCTCACCCTGCAAACTTTGAGCGCTGTAAAATAAATAAATAAACTGCCGATTTGCCTAAAGCGTTTGGATCAAGTAAAATATTCTAAGATAACGGCATTGGTGGTGATTGAAAAGTTTTAGACTTTGTACTTTTAAATTAGCAAATATAAAGAAAATGCAAAATGCAACATGGCCTACATTATTTTTATATACAACAATATAATGCTGCTTAAAGCAGACCTTCCATGAAAAATAGAATGTTTGCTTCCCTGACCGGCTGTTGCCCAAGCAAAATTAACATTAAAAAAAAAAAATAACCACAAAAAACCCCAGGAAGTCAAATAGCAAAAAGCTGCCAGACTCATCCATCTCACCAACTGCTCGGTGGCCACCAGCCCTCTCTGCCAATGCCTCTATTGGTTTCCAATAGCACAACGTATAAAAATGTGCTATTGGAAGCCAGTAGCCAGATACTACCAACAACATACAAAACAATGTACAGCTCTGCCTCCACCCAGATAGCAAGCAATTGAGCTGCAAGTTTGAAAATGACTTGCAAACTATTGCAGACTTGCCAAGCTTCACAATTTTGTTGCACAATTACAGCAAGTCTGCATCGCAAGTCTCCAGACCAGCGTGCTTTGTAAAAGTGCTGTACACTTGCAGAGCTCTTGCTAAGACCTGCAGGACTCTTGTTGTAGACTTGCCAAGCAAATTTGCTACAAATTCAAAAAGTGTTGCCTAGAACTTGTGCTGCAAGTGTTCTGCAAGTCTACAACTTGCCAGGAATATGTGAAGCAAGTTAACCAGAATTACAATTTAACCCTGACATAAGTTTGTGGCAAGTTATCCTTGCTATCTGGGCAGCTACATCACCAACCTCATCTCAAGATATCACCCAAACCGTCCTCTCCGCTCCTCCCAAAACCTCCTGCACTCTAGCTCCCTTATCACCTCCACCTATGCGCGCCTCCAAGATGTCTCCAAAGCCATATTCATCCTCTATCCATCTTAAACCCTGTCACTGTGGCCTAGAGAATAATATATGGAATCCTTCCATGTATTAAAGTGAAATTAAACTCTGCAGTTTATGCACTACAATCTAACTTGTAGACTTGTGCGCCGTCAAAAAATTTGTTCCGTTTCGGAATATCCGTTATTTCGTAATTCGTGTCCGAAACTCAATTCGGATTGGTACGAAATACGAATTTTCGTTAGTTTCAGCACATTTTCGCAACTGTACGAACATACGTTATGATGAAGTTAAAAAGCAAAAATACCTTTGTTAATATTGGAGTCGATGTGGCAGTTGTTTTTTTATCCGAAATACGAATTCCGTTAACGGATTCCGTATCCGAATTTCGTATTTCAGATAAAAAAAACTACCATCAACTCCAATATATTAACAAAGGTATTTTGCTTTTTAACTTCAATATAACGAATGTTCGTAACGGAACAAAATTCCGTCAACGGAATTTCGTATTTCCTGCCTGTATTGTAATGCAACTCTCAGCAGCAGAAGAGAAAACCTCTGATTGGTCAACCAAACGAAATACGAATTCCGTTAACGGATTCCGGATCCGAATTTCGTATTTCAGATAAAAAAAAAACTACCATCAACTCCAATATATTAACAAATGTACTTTGCTTTTTAACTTCAATATAACGAATGTTCGTAACGGAATTTCGTATTTCCTGCCTGTGTATTGTAATGCAACCCTCAGCAGCAGTGGATCCGTATTTCGGATGAAAAAAAAAATCTTGTTTATGTTGTTCAACCTCATTTACAGGGGTAATATTAGTTCCTGTTTCAAAGAAATTCGGATCCGAAATTCGTTAACGGAATTTCGTGTTTCGGATATAATTCGGAAACTGCAATTCGGATTTCAGATGCTTCCGAATTTACGAATTTCAGGAAAATTCGTACGAATTTCGATTCGTAACGAAACGAATCGCACCTGTCTACTAACTTGTAGTAAACTAAACATGAGATTGAAGTCCATCCCGGGAGCGAGCTTAGAGCGGTGGCCACTTTACAACACACACACAGGGACCATGGGGAACACAAGTAGCCCCCCTCCAGAAGGAAGGACAGTGTCGGCACCAATTCAGAGATGATTGGAGGATCTACAGACGTTAAGTCGTACCAAGTTAAGGTACTTGAGTGCAACTCAAGATTTAAATCCTGAGTTTAGTGTCACTTTAACCCCCAAACAATTATCAGAATACAATGTGAATTTTGTTTTAAGGGTCAGTCCACCTGAAATTTGCTGCTCATTGTTTTTAAAACTTGGTAGGTCACTGAATAGTTTGTCTCTCTGGGTTTCTGTTGGTTAAGTCTCTGTATTTGAGTTCCTCAGTCATTCCTGGGGGAAGGAGAGGGTTGCTCTGCTTGTTTTGAATTTGTGATTACCAGCAACCCAAAGCATATGGTTTGTACGGGGGTCAAACTCATGACCTTGCCATTATTAGCACCACTACTAACCAGCCAAACCAAAAATAAACTAAAGAAGCATGCTGGTCCCATAACCTAGAGGTTGATGGATTCAAAACTGTGTCATTTTTAATGTCTTCTTTTTTACTAATACAGTGTTGGACTTAAAAAAAAGACCCTGAATGTACAGAGTTGCCCTTTTGCTGGAAAAAAAACCTCCTATTTTTGAGATAGCAGCTTGTCTAATTTTCTTAGTGATGTTTCTGGTTGTCTAGTGGGCTAAAAATTGGTTTCTTCTGTAAAATGGCTGCATGCACCGTGTGCACGGTACGCCCTTTTAAAGAACATGTGTATGACTGAAGTAGTTTTTTTTGCACTATTAATCTGGATTTCTTTGGAATTTCAATGAATGTCCGTCGAGCTTTCAAATGATTCTTCTTCATTGCTCACCGCAGCCATGAACCTCTTTGGCCTAAACTGGCACCTGCAGCCGACGGAAAGACAGACGTATGAGATCTCAGATGACAAAACCAGCAGTTGGCCTTTGCCGACAGACGTCACCTTGTACCCTTCAGGGAAGACAGGCGAAGGTAGGGTGTGTTATAAGTGTTGCCAGTCCCTCGTGTGTCCCATGTCACAACTCATGACCCATTATGCCTCTGTAATCTCTAAGTACATCATGGTCATCCCTCATGGTCTTACAGGCCTTTTTGTCTTTCAATATGGAACTGTTATCACCTAATTATTTTTTGGTCTAACTGAAGTGATAGTCTAACATTGTTCCATTGTCAGAGGATGCCAGCACTTTGAATTATCTGTGGTAACTTCAAACAGCACCTTTAAACTGGAAGAGACATTGCAACATTCCATTTGGAGTTGAGTGGCCTTGCCTTCCTCCAACATAATAGATTTAACCTGTGTTTTATGATGAGTAATGGATCCACAAAGAGCATCGGTTCTCAATATAGTTGGGTAAACTTGTCATGAGGGTATTATGGGGTCTACCATTGCTGCCCTCATTCTGGCTTTGGCTTTATCACTCTCAGACTTGCAGACCCAGAACAAGCATGTAGCAAATGAGTCTGTCAAGAGCCAAAATCTCTTATCTGTATAATTGTACTAGGTCAATACATCAGAACGCAGTGATGTAAAAGCATCAACATGTCAACTAGGCAAATAGCATTTTCAGAAGTAGAGGTCACCATTGTTAGTCATGTACTTTATTGCCAGCCTCACACCTATATGTTGCAGTGACATTCATTCATTTTAAATGGCACCCTGATGCACAAAACCAGTGCCTTCTCAATATATCCTCATTGCGGCACGCCGCAGTGTATATTAATATGCTACCATGAGTCGTGGTGTGTTGAGGTGGGAAAAAAAAAGTGCAAGTCCTATTTCAGGACTGCTGTGGTTGGTTGGGCCTTAACTTGGTGGATGTTAACGCACATGACACATGTTATTGCACTGAATTGGACTGGCAAGGTGTGAAGGGACCTTAAATGCTGAATGCCCCTGCTACTTGATTTAAAGCCAGGCTAGATGGCATGGAGCTGGCAGAAAGTGTTAGTAGAGGCAACAGGTTGGGTATGCATTCTCTCATTTAGAGGCAACAGGTTTGGGTATGCATTCTCTTATTTGGGTTGCAAGGTTTTTTGGAATTTGTTTTTTTAGGAATCAGTTGTTGACTTAAGCCACTAGCATCCATAGAAGGGTTTTATGATATTTGCTGTAGAGTGCAGTGTTATAAACCTAATGCAGACTCTAACCCAGCCTTTTTCAACCCTTTTACCTCTGAGGAACCCTCGGATCTCAGAGAACCTCTGCTAAAATGAATATATCAAGAATGCTTCTTACCACAGAGGTCAATGGAAACACTGTTCCCCTTTACAGTGGTGGTTAGAATCCCACCCTTCCAGACATCCTAAAAATGGTGTTGGATCTTGAAATATGCAAGCACCATCAAATGGAAGGTCAATCAGCCACAGCTCAGAGAGCCTCTCGCAATGTCTGGAGGAACCATTGTTGAGAATATGGCCGCATTAACCCTTCTCTACTTTATCCAAAATAAAAAGTTTTGGCTGGAGTTGAGTTGTATTATAGAATCTCTTGGGGTATTATTTGTAACAACTGGCACAAAAGTGAAGATGTCCCCTTGTTTGTTTCCATTTATATCCTCTTGACACCTTTTGAAAATTCATTAGCATTGACCTAGAAACTCTTTATGTCCTAATTGTGATAACTGGAGCAAAACCGGAGAAGTATCCTTTTTGTTTGTTTGTTTCCATTTACATGGCACCCGCGGAATATAGAAAATTTCAGTTGCCCAATTTTCTCTTGTTGAATCCCCGCACGTTGAGCTCTGCAAAATAGCTCTACTTTTGTTCCGGTATCGTAAATCAGCCCCAGGATATGTGAGAGGTAAATGGGTCAGGAACAACCTTTCAGCTTTATATTAAACATGTGACAGCTTAATCCAGCTGGAAAATGGTCATAATTGAGAATATCTTTCTTGGAAATTGCGGACCGAGGACAATTAACAAACGTCTGCTCTATATCATCGCGCGGAGTTTAAGACACGGGCATGAGATTTAAACTCCTGACGTAGTTGTATTCTGCTCTTTTTGGGCTAATTGTGCCTCTCTTTGATGACGGACCCCCTGTTCAATATCATCAGTGTATGCTTTATGATGTCTACCAGCTGTAGGAGAATTGCTGTAGGAAAAGTGATGTGGGGGCAAACTAATTTTCAATTCACCGTCCTGCCTTGTGTAGTCAGAAAAACACAAGTTGTGATTACTCAGCAGTTATGTGATTATAATTTAAGCCCTCTAAAGCTACAAATTAGTTAATTGGGTAGGAAGTTCTAAACCCGTCCGACGTTCATTATAGATGCCAACAATGTGAAGATTGTGCAGGGCCTGCAGATCCGTGGGGTTTCCCAGAATCCCCTGCAGTAATGGCGCACCTCCTGGGAGATTTTGTTTTGGTTTGTTTTTGTTAACCTTTTAACTGGTGAGCGAGCCAGTGCTACTGGAGTTTCAGCAGTCATGTGATCTTTGGAGGGACAAATTGAGTTCCGGAGGCCACCAGTCAAAGATAGAAAAATCATGTGCAACAAGTACATCTGATTTCCTAGAACTATATACTATGTAGAGCCTTAGTTCTCAACTGGTGGGTCGTGATCCAAAAGTGGGTCATGACCCCATGTTTAGTGGGTCACCACATGCCTTCCGCTTTTCTAGGTGAGAGGCTCCTTAGCCTCCCCCTAGCGCAGTACTGTTAGTTTTCACGGCAACCAGCTATTCAAAATATGCCGGGGCCGAGTGTCAGCTTGAGATGGGGCGGGATGGGGCTATGGCCACAAGGGATCTCCATGCATACCTGCATTGCTTACAGCTCCCTCACATGTCCTGTAGAGGTGCCTGGACCGGAGTGATGTCACAGTCTTTGCTCCCGACACCTTTACAGGGCACGCAAGGGAGCTGTACAAGCAATACACAAATGGATGGAGCTCCATCACAGCACAGCAGCCCACACTGGACCCCATGCTGAGGATCCACGCCAGTTCTCATTAGATAGGGAGACTGGGTGGATATTAATAAAAGAAAACAAAAATGTTTTTTTTGGAGTGTGGAGAATGTCTGTGAGATTGTGTCTCTGGTTGTGTGTGTCTATCAATGTTTTTGAGGGGCCGTTCACACTAGCACGGCGTTAATCGCAGTCCCGTGCAATTAACACACTGTAGCACGCAATCACACTTACTGCACGTTCTGGTTTGGGAGATGTGTTGTGTGGCCAATTATTTCAATGGCACCCCAAACGCACCTCCCACCCTTTACAGGCTTCAAGTAGGCACACCTTCTCATTCCTCAGGAGAACCTTACTCTCAAACAGGCACACCATTTGGTTGCTTGGGAGCACCTCACTTTCATGCAAGCACACCTTCTCATTCCTTAGGAGGACCTCCCTCTCATACAGGCACACCTTCTCGTTGCTCAGGAGGACCTCACTTTCATGCAAACACACCTTCTCGTTCCTCAGGAGGATCTCACTTTCATGCAGACACACCTACTCATTCCTCAGGAGGACCTCACTCATACAGGCACACCTTCTCGTTCCTCAGGAAGACCTCACTCTCATACAGGCACACCTTCTCGTTCCTCAGAACCTCATTCTCATACAGGCACACCTTCTCGTTCCTCAGAACCTCATTCTCATACAGGCACACCTTCTCGTTCCTCAGGTAGACCTCTCTCTTATACAGGCACACCTTCTCGTTCCTCAGAACCTCATTCTCATACAGGCACACCTTCTCGTTCCTCAGGTAGACCTCTCTCTCATACAGGCACACCTTCTTGTTCCTCAGGAGGACCTTACTCTCATACAGGCACACTTTCTCATTCCTCAGGAGGACCTCACTCTCATACAGGCACACCCATTCCTCAGGATAACCTCACTCTCATACAAGCATACTTCTACGTCCTGCAAATCATTTAGTTAATCTGCCTATGGAAGTCCAGCTGCTGCTGTACTTCCTGGCTTCTTTGGTTACAGCGATGCAGGTCTCCTAGTGTGACATGGGCCTTATAGAGAACAAGAAATGCTTCCTTTGTTGCTGGGCCAGTACTGTACAGCAAACATTCACCGATCTACAAAGTCTGGAAGGAGTGCAGCCATAAATAAAAGGTTAGGTAAGGGTTGCTTTTTGGGGGGGGAACATTTTGCTTTGCATATTGCATCTGGTTTAATAAAATAATGTGCGGGGTAATTTCTGACACTTAATACTCAGGTGGGCTTAACCTGCCGCTCTTTTATAATCTCAACCAGACGCCAAATTTCCTGATCCCATAAATAAAAGTAATTTGACTGACAAAATTAATGGGCCCTTTTTCTGTAATATTTGTTTTTATTAAACTGCAGCCAGGACCATAAAGCATGGCTTAAAGAGAAACTCTACGGTGTATGCCGTCTGTACATATCGAGTCATTTATTCTTGAAAGGCATTGTGAACATGGCTTTTCTTCAATGTTTTGCTTGCTGCTCCATGTTTGTCTGTGAAGGTTCTCATTTATAGGTCAGGGTATGGATAGATGTGGATAGTCACTTTCAACTGGACTTGTTCTGTAATGTTGAACATGTTTCCTAGCCTATCCAAGCCACTTCTTCAGTTCTAATGAGTGTTGGGGACATACCCCATCATTTCCACACACGCACAGATACCTCAATCCACTCACTGCTTAGTCAGGTTTAGGGAGGTCCTGTCAGGGTGTTTGGGGCCCCAAGATTTCTAATGATGGCCCTGGGAATGTCCAGTAACGTGTCAAACATGGACATTACAAGGCCCCTTAGAGAAGCCCAAGCTGAAGCGGTGCCTTAGAGCGCTGGAATTGCACCTAGACCAAGTATCTATGGTCATCTGTGACCCAGCCTTGGTTCAGGTTGTGCAGCTGGGTACCATTGCTCTCGTAGGGTAGTTAAGCCAAGAATATATGAGAAAAAGCATAACCCCGTAATACAGGTGCTTTTGAAAACCACTCCACTTGTTGCATAAACATAATTTTGCCTTTGGGCAACGATCGACGGGGAGCCAAAACATGCTTTTTACAGATTGAAATCTGACATTACCTCGCCGCTGTCTCATTAGCGACGGGCTGGATCAACACAAAACAACGCTCAAGCCTTGTTTTGATTTTCAGGCATTCGAAAAAATATTTAGATCTTTGGTTTTAAAATGAGCGCTGATAACGGCTGCTGGGTTTTATTTGCCTTTGTGTTATCCTCCCATCCCCCAGTTACTGATGAAGAAGAAAGCCAATTCAATGAGATTAAAAAGAAA